ATAAGTATTCAGACCCTTTGCTGTGACACTCATATTTAACTCACATGCTGTCCATTTCTTCTGATCCTCCTTGAGATGGTTCTGCTCCTTCATTGGAGTCCAGCTGTGTTTAATTAAACTGATTGGACTTGATTAGGAAAGGCACACACCTGTCTATATAAGACCTTACAGCTCACAGTGCATGTCAGAGCAAATGAGAATCATGAGGTCGAAGGAACTGCCCAAGGAGCTCAGAGACAGAATTGTGGCAAGGCACAGATCTGGCCAAGGTTACAAAAGAATTTCTGCAGCACTCAAGGTTCCTAAGAGCACAGTGGCCTCCATAATCCTTAAATGGAAGAAGTTTGGGACGACCAGAACTCTTCCTAGACCTGGCCGTCCAGCCAAACTGAGCAATCGTGGGAGAAGAGCCTTGGTGAGAGAGGTAAAGAAAAACCCAAAGATCACTGTGGCTGAGCTCCAGAGATGCAGTAGGGAGATGGGAGAAAGTTCCACAAAGTCAACTATCACTGCAGCCCTCCACCAGTCGGGGCTTTATGGCAGAGTGGCCCGACGGAAGCCTCTCCTCAGTGCAAGACATATGAAAGCCTGCATAGAGTTTGCCAAAAAACACATGAAGGACTCCCAGACTATGAGAAAGAAGATTCTCTGGTCTGATGAGACCAAGATTGAACTTTTTGGCTTTAATTCTAAGCGGTATGTGTGGAGAAAACCAGGCACTGCTCATCACCTGCCCAATACAATCCCAACAGAGAAACATGGTGGTGGCAGCATCATGCTATGGGGGTGTTTTTCAGCTGCAGGGACAGGACGACTGGTTGCAATTGAAGGAAAGATGAATGCGGCCAAGTACAGAGATATCCTGGAAGAAAACCTCTTCCAGAGTGCTCAGGACCTCAGACTGGGCTGAAGGTTCACCTTCCAACAAGACAATGACCCTAAGCACACAGCTAAAATAACAAAGGAGTGGCTTCGGAACAACTCTGTGACCATTCTTGACTGGCCCAGCCAGAGCCCTGACCTAAACCCAATTGCGCATCTCTGGAGAGACCTGAAAATGGCTGTCCACCAACGTTCATCATCCAACCTGACAGAACTGGAGAGAATCTGCAAGGAAGAATGGCAGAGGATCCCCAAATCCAGGTGTGAAAAACTTGTTGCATCATTCCCAAGAAGACTCATGGCTGTACTAGCTCAAAAGGGTGCTTCTACTCAATACTGAGCAAAGGGTCTGAATACTTATGACCATGTAATATTTCAGTTTTTCTTTTTTAATAAATTTGCAAAAATTTCTACATTTCTGGTTTTTTTCTGTCAAGATGGGGTGCTGAGTGTACATTAATGAGAAATAAAATGAACTTTTTTGATTTTAGCAAATGGCTGCAATGAAACACAGAGTAAAAAATGTAAAGGGGTCTGAATACTCTCCGTACCCACTGTAGACCTATAGTTAGCTAGAGTTCCTGAATCTAGAGTAGGCTTTTTAAGTAGAGGTTTGATTACCGCTACTTTAAATGCCTGTGGTACATAGCCTGCCAGTAAAGATGAATTGATCATAACTAATATAGAGTTGTTAACTAAGGGAAAAACTTCCTTAAACAGCTTGGTTGGGATTGGGTCCAAAAGACAAGTTGACGGTTTTGACGCAGAAAAAATGGAATATAGCTCTGAAAGGTTGATTGGAGAAAAACAGTCGAGACTAACATCTGGTTCTGAAACTGTCTCTGCCGTATCAGACGTATCCGCACCAGGTAAGGGCAGGAGGTTACCAATTTTGTCTCTGATGTCTAGAATTTTGTTGTTGAAAAAGCTCAGGAAATCATTACTGCTGAGGGCTAGAGGAATACAAGGCTCAATGGAGCCATGGCTCTCTGTCAGCCTGGCTACAGTGCTGAAAAGGTATCTAGGATTGCCTTTGTTTTCCTCGATTAGAGAGGAGTAGTAGGCAGCTCGAGCGTGACGCAGAGCCTTCATATACATCTTCTATGACTATCCTGCCAGAAAAAACGAGATTCTACCGTTTTGGTCGAGCGCCATATTCTTTCAAAATTCCGCGACGATTGTTTTAGAGTACGGGTTTCTGAGTTGAACCATGGAGCCACTCTCCGCCGCTTGACAACCCTCAGTTCCAGGGGAGCAATCAAATCAAGAGTAACTCTCAGCGAATTCATTGCACTATCAACAAACTGATCTAGCTGAGAAGGACTAAAGCTATCATAAGAGTTTCCAACTGGGTTGAAACACGGTACTGAATCAAAAACAGCTGAAATAGCTTCCTTAAATCTAGCCACAGCACTATCCGACAAACTTCTAGAGAGCACACCTCTTCCAAGCAGAGGTAATTCTGGCAGGACAAAGTCGAATGTAATAAGAAAATGGTCTGATAGAAGAGGATTTTCTAGGAAAACTGTAAGGTTATGGATTTCAATGCCATAAGCTAAAACAAGATCCAGGGTGTGGTTGAAACGATGAGTAGGTTCGTTTACCACCTGGGTGAAACCAATAGAGTCTAATAGTAACGTGAAAGCTGTGCTCAGGCTATCATTATCAACATCCACATGGATATTGAAGTCACCTACGACAATTATTCTATCACTGCTAAGGACTAAATCTGATAAAAATTCTGCAAATTCAGATAGAAACTCAGAATATGGGCCAGGAGGGCGGTAAACTACAACAACTAGAACTGGCTGAAAGGTTCTTGAGACTGGATGTGAAAAACTAAGAACAAGGCTTTCAGAAGAAGAAAAATTCAGCTTTGGTCGAGGGTTAACTAGTAGACCAGAATTAAAAATAGCTGCTACTCCACCACCTCGTCCGGTGTCTCGAGGTATATGAGTACAAAAATGACTGGGAGGAGTGGATTAATTCAAACTAACATATTCATCTCGACACAGCCAGGTTTCAGTCAAAAAAAGTAAATCAATATGCTGATCTGATATCAGATCATTCACTAAAAGAGATTTGGATGCTAAGGACCTAATGTTCAAAAGTCCGCAGTGAATCTTCTGATTTTTTTGCAAAATCGTATTCATGGTTTTGATTCTAATGAGATTTTGACGATTTATGCCGTTTGGATGACTTATAAAAACGGGTCTGTGCCGGGGGACAGACACAGTACCTATAGTATAACTACAGTTCGATTCAGAATTACAGCTATAGTGACTGGGAGACAGATCTAAGGGAGGCGCAGAGAAGCGTGTAAGACTGCAGCTCTGCCTCCTGGTCTGAACTCTGTCTTGTTGTCAAGGTTTTGGACTAATAACCTCTGCTATGTTTCTAGATAATAGAGCTGCACCATCCAAAGTGGGATGGATGCCGTCTCTAGCTAGCAGACCAGGTTTTCCTCAAAAAAGACTGCCAGTTATCTATGAAGCCCACATCGTGTGCTGGACACCACCTCGACAGCCAGCAGTTGAGTGATGACATGCGGCTATACATGTCATCACTGGTCTGATTTGGGAGGGGTCCAGAGAACACTACACTATTTCAAATGCCATAGACTTAGAATGAAGTTGTGGGAATTTGATAAAACAGCACCAAATGAAAGGTTGTTATGACCATGTGTTTCTTGTCTCTGAGTGAATCTTTTATAACTGCACTACACTTTTCCAATTATGGTAAGATAGAAGTAATTCAACTCTGAGAGCTTTTCCATATAATAAACGAACCAAAAGGTAGAAATGGTTAGATATATAATGTGAAAGAAATGTGAGGAAATGTGAAAAGTAATTTCTTCTGTGTATGCATAGCGGGTGCATATCACGTACATTTATTCAGTTGTTACAGTTTCACTATTGCATTCACCCAGCTCCTGAAACTAGGGCTCTGTGTGAATGCAATAGTGAAACCCCGTAACAATGGAATAAAATTACATAATTATAAGGTTCTTTCACTCAAAGACAAGAAACACATGGTCATAACAACCTTTCATTTGAGTAAACAGGCACATGGTGCTGTTTTCTCAAATTCCCAAAACTTCCTTCTAACTCTATGGCATTTAAAATAAATGTACATACAATTTTTCTATTAAGTTTGACAGCATTATGTAGGCATTTTACACATCTTACAGATCAATTGTATTAAATGCTGAGTAGATGAGGAGATAGGGAATCATAATTAAGCAATATGGGAGTCAAAATATACTCATTGAGTTGCTGTCTTGCTCCTTATAATCTTTACAACCTTTGTTTTTTTCTGTTGCTTCTGCAAATATAGTTTTGATTTTCAGGTTAGTGGTCATTAGATCTTTTATTTCAGTTTTCAAAAAAACTGTTTTATAAAGTTAAGATATTTTAAAGTTGAGTCAAACATTTTTATATTCCATCCCAGTGTGGCCGTTAAATATGGTCGGGCTTACTGAGTCACATTCTCTTACAGGAAAGCTACCGATTTTTACCATTCATACATGTCTGCCTTTGACAGCTTGGTTTCAACAGAGCTCATTATTCTGTACAGTCAGAGCTGAAAGGGTTTGTCAGTGTTTCTATTCAGTAATGACACACAGATGTACAGCCCTGCTGAGGCAGAACTTGGAAAAGATGGACTACAAGAAAGAAACCCTTGGGAATGTGTTGTTGTAATAAGAAATGTTTTCACAACAACTTTTGGCATTATATTAAAGTAACACCGGTTTATTGTACAAGTTCAAAATCTGGCATGTCTGATGGGGGGGTTTTCCCTTAAGTGAGCCTGGCAGTGGATCTACATATTGAAGACATGATTACTCAGACGCTTCTTCTCTGGTTAAGAGCTTTAATGCCTGTCACATACTGTTTCAGGAGGTGGAGTCACACGTAAATACTTTCAAGCACTCGCAGACAGAAGACCCAGTCAGGGGGCAGCTGTTGGTAGGTCATCTTGTTTCCATCCAGTCGTAAAATCTTCATCCTGGAGTATGAAAGAGGTCCCACCTCTCTGCAGAAACTAGTCACGTTGAACCCTGTGGTAAAAAAACAAAACAGAGACAGGATCTTTTTTTTTTCTTCAAAAAACAGAAAGACCATATTCTTTTTTGAAAGAGTCATTATTCACCAGAGTGACAGCCATATGCTTATTTCTGTCTTGTCAAATCATTGTAGATAATAAAGCAGTCCAGAGAGCTTTGATTTAACATCATGGACCATGTGTTCATCATATGCAAATTATTAGGATGAAGCTCCTAAATCACATGAAAAAATGTTTTCTCGCCTGATAGTTTTGATTAGCCTCTTCCTCTCACAGAGTCTGCATTTCCCATTAGAAGTTTTGCAGGTGCTGCGGTGAAAACGGAGTATTAGCACACCACAATACCCTCTTTTGCTTTCTCACTTCATTTCAGTAGCAGACTGTGGGCTTTGGCAGACAGGAACCGCAGTAGCAAGACGATGAGGTGTGTGTTATTGTACGGGTTTGCCGTCTCCCTGTCTGGTTCGTAGATTAAGAAACAAGTGCACACTTTCACTTTGCCAGAGACCTTGAGACAAAATTGCACACCGAGTCACTGCTGCCAGACAGTCATGTGAGACAAAATACAGCTCCTGCTAGTCTGCTGCTCTGTGATATGAATCATATAGGCTATGTAAAAAAAAGAAAGAGAGAGAGGACTGTGTCATGTGGAGAAGACAGAGAGAGAGGAGGGGTAGATGATGAAGAGTGGGAACAGCATGTGCTTCTGGCTTTTCTGGCAATCTTACCTCTGAATCTATTGCAGATGTTTTCATACCACTTTCTCTTATTTGCTACCCACCCTTTATTCCCTCCCCTCCACCTTCCTCTCACTTTTTGCAGGTTTCAGAGTCCCTCCTCTTTTTTTATTCTGTCTCTCTTACTCCACCTCTGACTTGCTTCGCATGCGAGCTGCCCCATCTTCAGCCCCTGCTATGTCCATAGACGCTGATGAGGCCCGGCTGTGTATTTCTGTACAAGTGTGTTTCAAAGTTCACATTTTCCACATTTCTTCCTCACAGCAGAGTAAGGGTCTCTGGCCTCCCCAGGTGGTCAGCAAAATACCTCAGTAATGTTTTACTTTGCTTTCATAACAGCATGCATTGTTGTATTGTTAACTGTGTGCACGTGTGTACAGGTGAGAAAATTAACACATCAAAGACAAAAAGTCAGAAACACCTACAGTACGGTGTAAAAAGTGACTACGTTATGTCTGAGTGTGCACATGTTTTCTTTGGTCCTGTTAACACCTGGTTTTAGTTTTGTAAGAGATCTGTTGACTAGTGGTAAGAATGAAGTGCAGATGTTGAGCATACATTGAGATACGATCACTCAGACCACATTCAGAGATGGTGTTGCCGCATTTGACAGAATTCGTCTGGCAGTGTGTTAGTACATGTGTCCTATGTCACTTTAAAGGACCGCCTACTCTCTGTATCTAGGGCAACAATCAGGCTTGATTCAATTATTAATGTTATCTGATTAAAAGCTTCAATCCAATGTCTTTTTTGGGGAGGGCTTTTTGTGCCTTTAATGTAGGACAGTGGATAGAGTCGGAAATCAGGGAGAGAGAGAGAGTGGGGAATGACATGCTGGAAAGGAGCCACAGGTGGGATTTGAACCTGGGCCGCCTGGGAAGACCACATGGGGAGCGCACACTAACCACTGCGCCACCAGCGCCCCCAATCTGGTGTCTTTAATAAAATATTTTGGCCTTCTTATTTTCCTTGGCTGTGTAGTGCAAGATGATCCCATCCCAAATAGGCAAGGGATATCGAGCTGATGTGATGTGACCCTTGCACAGTTAATCAAAGCACATAACAATGCAGTGCATGTATCGTATTTTCCGCACTATAAGGCGCACCGGATTATAAGGCGCACCTTCAATGAATGGCCTATTTTAGAACTGTTTTCATATATAGGGCGCACCGGATTATAAGGCGCATAGAATAGAACGTGTTTACAACTGAACAAGGCTGGGAGATATTGTGAATATATAAATATAAATACGTATAAAACGTAACGTATAAAACTACAAAAACAAAAGTACATAAGACGATTTCCCCAAATAATAAATTATTTCTTTGACGTTTCTCTTAACTCTCAAAACGTAGTTTTATACGTAGTGCATTCACAATAACTCAACGTTGTTCAAACGTTAATGTGCATATTCACAATATCTCCCAGCCTTGTTCAGTTGTAAACACGTAAAAGAAACACAGTCTGATACCGCTAATTCAAACGTTAGTGCAGGGGTGCCCAAACAGTCGATCGCGATCGACAGGTAGATCGCTGACTGATTCTCAGTCGATCGCGAGATGTTTTGTCAATATAAAATACAATTGTAAAATAGAAAAGTGATTTCAATTTCATCTCATTGCACTGTTTCCCACACACGATACCTGTGTTGGGAGCCCAAGTATACTTCCGACCTGTGTGTATTTAATTTTTCATTTATTCATGAAATTGCTGCGTGCATGAGAGAGCGAGCGAGAGAGCGAGCGGGGGAGCGAGAGAGAGAGAGAGCGCGCGCAAGAGAGAGTGCAGGCATGCGCAATGACGTGCAGGTAAAACCGGGGGGGTAAATGTTTTACCAAAAAGTCATATATAGAAACTATGCTACGAGTATTAAGCGCATTTGATGAAGCTGCAGCTACTTTTCTCTGCTCCTCTCTGCTGTCATGACTGTGAGCATTGCGGGGGACGAGACACACCAACAAACAGCGCAAACGCACACGCACACGCACACACACACACACACACACTTGCACTGGAGCACCAGCCACCACGCGAACCTTTTTACTTTTTACTTTTAGTGCTACAGCACACAGTTGATCCGTGATCCGTACAGACTGAGGCGTGAACACACGTGACCCGGTCAAACAGTCGGTTGGACTTTACTCCGTTCACTCTCACCGTGTCTGCAGCTAATTTAACAAAAGCAAAATCATCTCACAGCAGCCTGCTGTAGTCTGTAGTCTGCATTATTTTTTACAGAACTCTCATTTATTATTTTCTGTTTGTTGTGTGAGTATTAAATGCGTTTGTAGGCTGTTGGTAAAGGCTATGGCTCACTATGTGGACTGGTAGATCTCGGCAGACTGGTAACTTTAAAAGTAGATCTTGGTTCAAAAAAGGTTGGGCACCCCTGCGTTAGTGCATACCTCAACATTGTTCAGTTACGTATAACACGTAAAGCTCACTTTTTCAGTTCATTCCCCGTCCACGAATCCCTCGAATTCTTCTTCTTCAGTGTCCGAATTGAACAGTTGGGCGAGTACGGCATCCAACATGCCCGGCTCCCTCTCGTCATTATCCGAGTCAGTGTCGCTGAGCGCCATGTACAACCAGTATGGATCAACCAATTAACCAATTGATCCATATATAAGGCGCTCCGGATTATAAGGCGCACTGTCGTTTTTTGAGAAAATTAAAGGCTTTAAGTGCGCCTTATAGTGCGGAAAATACGGTAATGTAAAGAGTGTCTTATACAGAACTGTTTTTCTATATTTTATTAGCAAATACTCTAATCTGCAGTGGAATCTATTCACTGGGGCTTGCTTTGCATCAACTCAGCACAATTATTGGTGCATTTAATTCCCTGTTATATTTTTATTAATTTGCACAGGTCTCTCAAGCATAAAACCTGCACAATCATTGTGTGTATCAGGCCCTTAGTTGTAAACCATTCGACTGTAAAGGAAAATGTGTTATACACAGCAAAAGCTGTAATTTTTGTTTGATTACATTACATTGAGTTGAGGGGTGTTGATTGGGGCCCTTTGCTGCTGAATAAGCTCTAGGGACAGTGCTATTTCAGTGAGTCAAGGCCATACACTCCTATCTTAAAGGCTTTATATGTGAGTTTTCACACTTAAATGTAATAGAAATCAAGTATATCCTCTGAAAATAACTCTGTGAGTCATGACTGTCTACAATGGGTGTAACACCCGAGTCCCACTGTCTGTGATGTTTTCAGAGTTTTCAGAGTCCTATCTTCACTTTGTTTGCATCGCCTGGACGGCCGGCTGACTCCTCCTCACGTATAAAAGTTGTTTAATTGAGGGACTAGAGAAAAGAAGAATAACATACTGTACTCACTGCTTAACTGTGTTTCTAGATCACGCTCATTTCAGGTAAATTTACATGCAGTGTGAAGATACGAGCATATTAAAGATCGCTAGCATTAGCATGCTAACACAACAATGCAGCGCGAGTTGTTTTGGTTTCATGCTGGTGCTCAAGGGCGACATCTGCTGGATCATAAAATCACATATAAAGCCTTTAAATTTCACATCCTGTTTTTATCGTTATTTTTCCTTAGGCTGAAGGGAAAAATGCAGAGTTTGGAATATTCAGTTTAGAAAGGTAAGAACCAAGTCTATTCACTTACATAGGCAGTAAAAATGTATACAAAAACAATGTGTTAACTTCAAATGGGGTTTGAACTGATTGATTGTGTCATTGAAGCTTGCAGATTTTGCTGTCTAGTGTAGCTTAACATGCTGGCTAGCTTAAAAAGGGTTCAGAGAAGTCATGTTAAGGGGACCATTTTTTTCTTGATGTCTAGCTCAAACGTTTTTTCTCTTTACTTCTCTGTTAGTACTTTAAATGTAAAATATGTTAATGTGCATTTTTATGTTTCACAGTAAATGTAAAATAAAATGAAAAACACACCCAGTGAAATGGATTTAGTCTTAAAATACACTATGTCATCAAAACAACACTGTGGTATATTTAACACTTAAGGGTTAAATTAAAGTGTTAAATTCTCAGAATGCATGACAATTATAGTATAAAAAAGACACACCTTAACACTGGATGTAAACAGATCCTTTGTGTTTGCATTCAGCTCACCTTGTATTTCATTGGCCTCTAGGTAAAGGTACTGCAGGGAGGTGGGGACAGTCGGAACAGTCGTAAGTTTGTTATTTGAAAGGTCCAGTTCAACCAAGCTGGAGATGTTGAAGGCCTGTGGAGGGATGTCATGGCTTTTCAGACCACAGTGACTTAGACGAAGGTACTTCAGTTGGAGAAACCCCTGAAAGCTTTCCTCATCCAGCCCAGAGAGAGCGTTATTGGACAGATAGAGCTGCTGGACAGACGGGGGTAAATGCCTGGGAACGGACAAAAACAAATTCCCACTGAGGTCGAGCAGGTTCATTCTAACCAGTCCTGGAAGATAAAGGGAGGACACACAAAAATATTACAATGGCAAAATTGTCTAACAGATAGAATGAGTGTCAACTGAAAATGAGCCTTTAATTGTTGTATTATTCAGTGTTGATGAGTAATGACAGACTCAAGGCCAAACGTTATGTTTGGGGAATTAGACCATGACAAATAAAGAAGTGGCATCCTAAATGATTATTATCACATGTCTTAACGATGGTATTTGTCATGATTTGGTTTTGTATTTGAGTTTCCCTGTTTTATCCCAGTGTTGCGTGTTTCCCTTGTGTTAATGTTCCCTAGTGTTGCTGGTTTTTCCCTTGTGTGTTTCCTAGTTTTGTCTTCAGTGTTTTCTGTTTTGTTTTGTCATTCATTATCCTCGTGTATCTCTGTGTTCTAGTGTGTTTTTGTTTCATTCTTGAGTTCTGTGTGTCTTTAGTGTTTCATGATTTAGTTAGTAGTTGTCCTCAGTGTTTCTTGTATTCCTGCCTCTGTGTGATTGCCCTGATTGTCCTCACCTGTGTCTTGTTAGTCTCACCTGTGTCTGATTACCGTACCTCTATTTAGTCTCTGTGTTTCGGCTCTTCTGTGTCAGTTCATTGTATGTTGTGATATGTTGTTCGTTGGTATGTCAGTTTTTGCTCGTGCGCCTCTGTGGCTACCTGTTTTTGATCCCTGTGTTTTTTGTTGAATCTTGGAAGTAAGTTTTTGTTTATTAAAGACTTTTAGTTCATTCTGCACTTGGGTCCACCTCTGCTCGTTGTTTTCCAATCGTGACAGTATTGTATCATGGTTGTTAGTGTAACAATCTTTTCATACCACAATTAAATGATTTAAGGCACATACTGACTTCTGATCTGCTGTTGGGCTTTGCCTTGCAGTTTTTTTCTATACAGGTTTTTAAATATTATTGTATTTAAATGTGAATCATTTTACATTTGGAAGTGTAAAAAATTGAAAGTAACAAATGAAGTTTGATGATGCATTATATAGTAGCTGCAGGACAAAACAAAAACATCTTAAAACCGTAACTATTGTGGCACTGGTGGCGCAGTGGTTAGTGCGTGTGCCCCATGTGTGGAGGCTGTAGTCCTCCAAGCGGGTGGCCCGGGTTCAAATCCAACCTGTGGCTCCTTTCCCGCATGTTATTCCCTACTCTCTCTCCCTGATGTCAGACTCTATCCACCGTCCTATCTCTACCATAGAAGCACAAAAAGTCCAAAAATAAATCTTGAAGAAGAATTTAAAAAAAAACGTTACTATTATCTGCAGGCACTTGCACAACACAAGGAAGAAACTACAGCTGCTATGTGTAAATCTTTTTGCATTTAGCATTTTTGTCACTTGTAACTTGCTTGTTATTTAAGAGGTATAAGAGATCAGAATAAAGCTATTCTGCTCTATCTCAATTGTTTCCCTACAAAGGTAAGTCTTCATGTACATAGAAAATGACACATCGAACTACCTTTGAGGTCTCTCTCCGTGATGGTTTGCAATCTGTTTCCCTGCAGCAGCAGCAGTGTCAGGTTATGAAGTTTCTGGAAAGTTCCGGGACTGATGATGCTGATTTGGTTGTAGGACAGACGCAGCTGCTTGAGTCCTGCCGGTAGAGTGCTGGGCACGGACCTCAGGTGGTTGTGGTTTGCGAAAAAGTAGCGCAACTTGGTCTGGTTCTGCAGGACGGACTGGTCCAGTGTGTCACTCTGTAACTGGTTGTGGTCCAGGATGAGCCAGCGCAGACCAGTGATGTTGGCCAGAAACAAGGAAGACAGGGACGAGATGTTGTTGCCCTAGTACAGTATACAAAAGGGTAAAAAAAAATGCCAAATTAATGTTTTGTTTTTTTATTTTACTTCGATTTAAATTCAATATATGCAGTTTAGCCATTGGAGGTCAGCAACTTCAGTCATATGAATGACCTGTGGTATAGAGGCAGAACTTTGTAAAGACAACACACTCAGTGCCCATGGGAGTATTTTTCCTACCTGAAGAAATAGGTATTGAGTTCTCTCTGGCAGGCTGTCAGGGATATCGGCCAGGACTCTGTGGTCACAGTAAAGGGCTGTGGGCCACTGGATGGGGCAATCACACTGTTCAGGGCAGGCCTGAGGGTTGTTGGTTCTGAACCAGGCTCGATCCATCCGCCCCTGCAGGCTCAGCACACTGGGCTCACCCAACAGGCGATTAATCCACAGAGGAACACCCCCGTAGTCCATGCCAGCTAATACAGTGGCAGAAGCAGAGCCAAAAACATACAGCAGCACCAACATGGTACAGCACAGGAGAGCCATGGAGACAGCTGGTGAGCTATGTATTCCTGCAAAGTGAATATGAAGACAAAGCTGTTAAATAAAGAAAAAACAGTATTTAAAGGCTTTATATGAAACTCTTTGATCCAGCAGATGTTGCCCTTGAGCACCAGCATGAAACCAAAACAACTTGTGGTGCATTGTTGTGTTAGCATGCTAATGCTAGTGGCGATGTAAACAAACTGAAGATAGGACTCTGAAAACATCACAGACAGTGGGGCTCGGGTGTTACACCCATTGTAGACAGTCATGACTCAGAGTTATTTTCAGAGGATATACTTGATTTATATTATATTCAAGTGTGAAAAATCACATATAAAGCCTTTAACGTGTCAAAGTGATGTTAATGACAATTTCAACTCTGAGTTCTTCAGTGAGGCACATTAGTGTTTTGGTTAGGGCATAGGAACTGCTGTATACTGTAATAGAAAGCCTCCAGGGTATTCAGTTTGTAGTCTGATGTCGGCACTTTGCCTACATGTTGAACGAGTTGAATTGTGGGGAATGGAGGATCCTGGTTGTTTGAAGCTGCAGCATTAGTGTGACCACTCATTTGGATAGTTTTAAGATTGCAGCCTGGCTGATGTCATCACTTACACATAGCTAAACAATATTTAAGAACTTTTTATGAAACTATTCACAAATGGTAATAATTCACTGAAAATAAATCAAAATGAGTGGTTATCATATGACTTTTTTTCTTTAGCGCCAGCAGCTGGATAACATTAATGGATTTGACTCATAAACCATGCACCATATGGATGGATGTCATGAAAGCTGGTAAGAGTTCTTCTTAGTATCAATATTCATGTGCATCTCATTACAAATAGTAATGAAATTAGTGAACCCCATTTTTTTTCTCCAGCACTGTCATAGTGACACATTTTCTAGAAGTACAATACTTTAGTTCGTGATACCAGATCTGCAAAACTAATGGTACTCCCTAAACTGTAATTTGTTCATAATACAAATAAGCAAGTTTGAGGATATATTAAGCTACACTCAGAAACTGATATGATTAGTGTACAGCTAACGTCATTGTTAGCAGTATGCTAAAATTAGCAAGTAGTGTCCCTAAACCTAATATAAAAGCAATACTTCTGTCCATTGTGTTTAAGTCTACCTTTCAAAATTAATGTAAGCTCTTAAGGTTGTTCTGAAGCTTTAGTAATAAAGATAAAAAAGTAGATATATTACAAGGTCAAAAGATGTCGCCTTCTATTGGCAGCCTGTCTTTGCCATGTATCATCTTAGCAAATGAATCAGATTTTTTTTAATAGGAACTAACTTTGAACCATTTTCATCAGTTTAGAAAGTTGCTTTTTTACACACAGTTCTCTGAATTCAAACTGAGTAAACAGAGAAGAGTGAAGTGAGACAGAGCTGCATGCTCAGCTTTTGTTAGTAACAGTGATTCCAACAAAGCTGATGTGCACGAAAGTAAAGACACAAACACACAAAGACTCCCAGTTGATATATGACACATCAGTTTGTTGAAGATTTGCACAATCAGGAAGATTGACTTTGTCAGCATGCAATATAGTTTCCTGCTTTTCTCACTTGCAGTATTATCTTACGGAAAAAAGGTCAAAGGCTATAAAGAGATGATCAACTATGCATTTTGAAATCAGCAGTAATCACGTTAATACATTTCCACTTTTACTTGCTCTACAATTAGAGAAAAGAGAAGCAGAAGAGAAGCCGGCACTTACCTGTTTGGACAGATGAATGGGGACAGGCGGTTGAAATTCTTAATGAAACACTCCTGTTTTCAACAGTGTGTGTTTAAATGTGTCTGCATGTGTGTGTTTTTAAGCTACTGGCAATGTTTACCCTCTGTCTGCTACATTCCTCCTCTTCTGCCACATCCCAGACCCTAGACCTCCTCCATAATCTTCGCTCTCTCTTCTTTCATCCCTCGTCCCTCAACCTTGGGGTAATAGTTGGGTAATAATTAAACCCACAACATTTTGTGAACACATTTGGTGTACCATGGAGTTAAACAGAAACACTCAAAAAGAGTGACAAGATCTTCATTAGAGGGTAAATAGAGAAGAAATAAATTACACAAGGGAAACTGGATTTAGATTCTATTGATGCAAATCTGTTAGTGAATATGTGTACGTTTTTCATGTAAATTTCAGGGTGTGTGGATGTGTGTGTGAATATGTTTGTGTGCATCTGTGTGATTTGGGTCTGAATAATTAAATGGTTCTGCCTGGAAACTAAAAAGCCACAAAGTACCTGGGGAGCCAAAGAGACCATTCAGCGTGAGGAAGTGTGTCCATGTCCATATGTATGTGTTTGACTGCATGTGTGTGTAGTTGAGTGTGTGCTGTGAACTTCTTGCAAGCAGCTGAATAGAGCAGAGAAGAGAAGAGGAAAACGATTCCAGACCCGCCTCCCTCTCCGAGTTAAAGGGAGCGTTGTGAGAACATAGGCAAAGTGGAGAACAGGAGAGACAAGTGGAGACAGTATTTCTTTATCAGAGAATGAAAGTGCGCCCTCTAGGGAAAAAAATGGGATTACACCCACATTGGAATTTGACCAAATTGATGACAGTATGACTACCATTAAGGTTTTGAGGAGGGGGAAAGTGAATGGAGCCTTTTCTTTTAATCTTAAAGCAGGAAAATACAGTTGTTTTTTTCTGTGAGAAAACACTTAATCTGTTTGGGTGATATAATGGGCCTCAGCAGTTTTAGTATGGAAGCGAATAGTGATCAAAATTCAAATGATAAAGCTAATTTGAAAATTCAAATGCATTAACAGAAATGCTTTTTAATTTTCAGAATATGAGTGTATTATTTGACTCAAAAATAAAATTCTGATTAATTATCTAATTTGAATTTGTTTTCAACTTCAAAAATGCACATTCTTTGACTAAATTAAAATAAAGAACATACATTTGCTTTATCATTTTCAAAAAATGCCCTACTAAATTTGTATCATAATTCAAATGAAAAAGCTCATTTTAAAATGAAAATACAGCAAAAGAAACACGTTTTAATTTTCAGAATATACAGTGGATACGGAAAGTATTCAGACCCCTTTACATTTTTCACTCTGTTTCATTGCAGCCATTTGCTAAAATCAAAAAAGTTCATTTCAGTTTATTTCTCATTAATGTACACTCAGCACCCCATCTTGACAGAAAAAAAACAGAAATGTAGAAATGTTTGCAAATTTATTAAAAAAGAAAAACTGAAATATCACATGGTCATAAGTATTCAGACCCTTTGCTGTGACACTCATATTTAACTCACATGCTGTCCATTCCTTCTGATCCTCCTTGAGATGGTTCTGCTCCTTCATTGGAGTCCAGCTGTGTTTAATTAAACTGATTGGACTTGATTAGGAAAGGCACACACCTGTCTATATAAGACCTTACAGCTCACAGTGCATGTCAGAGCAAATGAGAATCATGAGGTCGAAGGAACTGCCCAAGGAGCTCAGAGACAGAATTGTAGATAGGTACAGATCTGGCTAAGGTTACAAAAGAATTTCTGCAGCACTCAAGGTTCCTAAGAGCACAGTGGCCTCCATAATCCTTAAATGGAAGAAGTTTGGGACGACCAGAACTCTTCCTAGACCTGGCCGTCCAGCCAAACTGAGCAATCGTGGGAGAAGAGCCTTGGTGAGAGAGGTAAAGAAGAACCCAAAGATCACTGTGGCTGAGCTCCAGAGATGCAGTAGGGAGATGGGAGAAAGTTCCACAAAGTCAACTATCATTGCAGCCCTCCACCAGTCGGGGCTTTATGGCAGAGTGGCCTGACGGAAGCCTCTCCTCAGTGTACGACATATGAAAGCCAAAAAACACATGAAGGACTCCCAGACTATGAGAAAGAAGATTCTCTGGTCTGATGAGACCAAGATTGAACTTTTTGGCTTTAATTCTAAGCGGTGTGGAGAAAACCAGGCACTGCTCATCACCTGCCCAATACAATCCCAACAGTGAAACATGGTGGTGGCAGCATCATTCTATGGGGGTGTTTTTCAGCTGCAGGGACAGGACGACTGGTTGCAATTGAAGGAAAGATGAATGCGGCCAAGTACAGAGATATCCTGGAAGAAAACCTCTTCCAGAGTGCTCAGGACCTCAGACTGGGCCGAAGGTTCACCTTCCAACAAGACAATGACCCTAAGCACACAGCTAAAATAACAAAGGAGTGGCTTCGGAACAACTCTGTGACCATTCTTGACTGGCCCAGCCAGAGCCCTGACCTAAACCCAATTGAGCATCTCTGGAGAGACCTGAAAATGGCTGTCCACCAACGTTCATCATCCAACCTGACAGAACTGGAGAGGATCTGCAAGGAAGAATGGCAGAGGATCCCCAAATCCAGGTGTGAAAAACTTGTTGCATCATTCCCAAGAAGACTCATGGCTGTACTAGCTCAAAAGGGTGCTTCTACTCAATACTGAGCAAAGGGTCTGAATACTTATGACCATGTGATATTTCAGTTTTTCTTTTTTAATAAATTTGCAAAAATTTCTACATTTGTTTTTTTTTCTGTCAAGATGGGGTGCTGAGTGTACATTAATGAGAAATAAAATGAACTTTTTTGATTTTAGCAAATGGCTGCAATGAAACAGAGTGAAAAATGTAAAGGGGTCTGAATACTTTCCGTACCCACTGTAGGTGCATTATTTGACCTATATTTAAAATGAATATTCAGTCATCCAGTTTGCATTATACTTTTACTCTCTATGTATGCATATTGTATGACATAATTCAAATGAAGACAAAAAGGTCTTTGGCTTTTTGTTTTCAAACTTTCCGTGGTAAAAAGTGATCATAATTCAAACCAACTCAAAAATGAATTGGCAAAGTGGACAGCGCAGGAAAGACGTCAGTCTCCAGCTCCCAGGCAGGCAAGTGTAATATTTACAGTCTATGAGGTGAGAGGGCAGATAGCAACCAACTGGTTGACTTGCCTGTTTAGGGTTACTTTGGGCATGAATGGATTTCTTTAATTTCTGCAACAAAATGTTTAGTTTTTTCATATATAAACATCATAGAGAGTAGAACTTGTTAAAATAACCTATAATTTATTCAACAAATTGAATGAGTAGCAATGGTTAGAAAAGGTGAACAAAATAAGAAATGAGTGACTTGAGCCAGGCCGTTTGCGTAGACTGGCAACTCAACCGAGTGGTTGACCCATGTTTTGTGAGGAATTGTAGATATATATTTTGTTGTCAAATTTATTTCCTTCAACTAAAATATGATTGAGTCATGATCAGGGTCTACAAATGATATGTGAAAATATTTGTTTTTACCCTGACATTTGCTCTTATTCTGTGAGATTTCTGAGGAGCTGTGCAGCGCAGAGTCACTACTGGTATTTTCCACAGTTTTAAGACAATGATAATTATGTACAGCAGCGTCACCCATTGGATATAACCGGTGTTACATAAACTATTCAATGAGGTTAAATAGCCAAACATAGGTTTTAAATACAGTAATATGGTGGCGGAAAAAAGATCAGCCGCGTGGTTACAATGCAAGGCCCTTTCCGAATAGCCACTGTTCAGTAGGCAGTACGTATACTGAAGTTTCGTGGTCATTCAGTATGCATTTTTTGGGTCCACCTCAGTATACTGAACATTTCAGTATGGATACTAACTTCCGGGTTTTATGCAGTATGGATCGGATGCGTGCTTTCAGGAAATGAATTGTATTTTACCACCCACAATGCTTTGCGAAATTAAACCTAAATCGTCACGTCACGTCCGCCTCAAAATCAAAACAAACGAGTGTGGATTAATATAATCTTAATTTAAAGTCCCGACTGAAATCACTACTTTTAATTAACAACAGAAAATTTAACAAATGTCAGCATTATTATGAAACCTTTTCCCCTCTATTTAAATAATGATTTCACTATTTAAATGTGTCTTTATTGGTTTATTTTACTTTATATTCTGTATATTACTGTCTTTCATTTGTACTTTCCTTTACGTACTGTATGTGATTTGGTTATTTAATCTGTCTTTTACTTGATTTACATTGTGATATTGTTTTTTTTACCTGACTGTATGCGCATTACTCTTCTTGAATAAAGCTAAACAAAAAAAAAATGGGTGAATGCAGGCAGTTCGGGGAACGTAAATGACGTCACTTCCTTACTGAATGACTCAGACAACGTAGGAACAAATATCTGCCTACTGTGCGCGCCTACTGAACAGTGGGCACTAAACAGTAGACAGCACGGATAGTAGGTACTGCCTACTGCCTATTGACAGATTGAGTAGGTACTTGGCAATTTGGATACAGTCAGGGATTAAAACCACAGACAATCAGGAACCAACGAGACACAGGTGAGGGTAATCAGGGCGGAGCTGACACACAAGGCAGGGACAAGAGGGGCAGGATCTGAAAGACAGAAACAAGGGTGAATACCAAAACACCACAAAACCCAGGAAATAATAATAATAAAGACTGAAACCCTTGTCAGTGTACTACCCATTTGTCAGGAAGTGGACGAATAAATTTGAAACCTATTTCTTTGAGATAGGTTTGCTCAATGCTTTTGTCATTTACAAAGCTAAAAACCCACAGGGCAAATGTAGTACTCTACTCTCGTTCATCCAAAGTGTTGTCAAAATCCTGCCAAAAAGCAGCACCCAACTAAGAATGTGCAGGGTTCGTGCACAAAAGGGGTTGCGGAAGGAGACATCCTTCTACTGCAAGGTTGTGGTGTCTCCTTACATTTTGGGGACTGTTACACAGTGTAACACTCAAATACACATTTCAATGCCTAATTTTATTTTCAGCAGTTTTTCAACAAAAGACGTGTTGAAATGTATGACCAAATGTATTTGATATTTGACTGCGCCTGTATCTGCAATCCTTATTTAGGCATGAAGGTTTTTCTGTGAAGCATGTGTATATAACCCCAAGCAACTTCGAGCTTTCTTTCAGACTGTATTGACACTCTGAAGCTTTGTTCCTTCTACTTGCAAGAAGAATTAAACTAAACAAAGACATTGATTGACTCGTGATCCTTTCTTTTGCATTGTTAACAAGAAATTTCCAGCACAAGTGCCTCAATACAAAAAAAAATTCACGTGAAGTGTGTTTGAAGATGCAGTTTTCGCAGGTTTTTGTTAAACAAATGTTTTTTGTTAGTGATGTGAAAAGCAGTTCTTTTCAGTGTACTGAAGATTAAGATTTACTTTATTGATCCCTGCAAGGGGAAATTTCTGTTTTTACACTCTAAGTCATGCAACACACACATAGGCTGAAATACACACACATGCACAAACAGGATCCTATGGACATGCACTAATGGAGAGATGCCAGAGTGACGGAGCTGCCCACAGCTACTGAATCAGTAGAATCAGTTCAGTAAAATGATTCGTTCAAAAGATTCGACAGAGCTAATTCTGATTAGCTCTGTCTGCTAATCAGAATTTATTAAGCTACAGTTTGCAAACTGAAAGCTGCTAAAACAATCATTTATATTTTCCCCGAATGTTCTGTTAGTACGCTCAGTATACGAATCACTGACTGACTGAGCAGGCGAGGGAGACTCGGACCTCCCGTTCAGTACGTTCAGTGAACGAATCACTGACTGACTGACTGAGAGGGAGAGAGAGACTCGGACCTCCCGTTCAGTACGTTCAGTGAACGACTGACTGAGAGGGAGTGTTATGATGCTTTAGGAGGATTCACTTCAGTGTCTTTAGTGGTAGGCGTGGTTGGAAGGAGGAGAAGCAGGGTCAGTACTGATGACACACCTGAGGGGGGTGTGGTGGCTCTGTCTCTGTAACCTTCATTAGCAGAAC